GGTGTGATTTGGACAGAAGGAGGCGGAGCTGTGCTCAGGCAGGGTGCGATTTGGACATAAGCAGTCAGAGCTGTGCTCAGGCAGGGTGTGATTTGGACAGAAGGAGGCGGAGCTGTGCTCAGGCAGGGTGCGATTTGGACATAAGCAGTCAGAGCTGTGCTCAGGCAGGGTGTGATTTGGACAGAAGGAGGCGGAGCTGTGCTCAGGCAGGGTGCGATTTGGACATAAGCAGTCAGAGCTGTGCTCAGGCAGGGTGTGATTTGGACAGAAGGAGGCGGAGCTGTGCTCAGACAGGGTGCGATTTGGACATAAGGAGGGGGAGCTGGGCTCCTGAATGTCCTTTAAGCCCTAAATACATGGGGGGAGGAACTGTAGGGGACATCCCCGCCCCAGTTTTCCCATCCTCAGCAGTAGTTTTGCGCTACCCTGCATTACCATGTAGTTTTGTGGTTTTCCCTGCATTGCCATACAAATCCAGTCCACTTACTAGTTCTTAAAATGATCCAGGTCAGAAATTTCCATTACCCTTAAGAAAGCACCGGTCTCACTTTCCAGGAATTCTGTCCACTTACTTTTACATTTAAAGTCTGTGTCTCTAAAAATTCCAGACCATAATTTTCCATTATCCTTAGCCTTGATGCCTCCCCAGTTGCTGGGCAAACACTGACTTTCTGTCAGAGTGGCAAAAATCCGAATTGAACATTAGTAATTATGTTTCAAGGAAAAGAAAAGTAAGTTATATCTGCCACGTATATGGAGATACATTACTCAAGGTCTTCAGCTGGACAGTAACACAAGTGGCATAAGTTAGTAAAGACTCATCGATGTTTGTGTTTTGAGACTCATCTGAGCTATGTATGTGTTGGTGTTACTTTTAGAATTACGAGAGTGCTAAACAGCACACAAAATGTGAAAAAGTACAGAAACATGAATTAAGAGCATAAAAACTGCTATGACAAGTATACACAAGCTGTGAATGAGTGCATTGCATTGGTTTGACTTTTGATCTTAGGTGTCCGGTTTTCAAAGTCATTATGTGATGGGGTGGGTAATATATCTAAAAATGATATCAGGGTTTTCACAAATTTATGCAAAAAACTGTAAAATATGATGGTTTTGTGTTTTTCTGATTATGATGACACAATGACAAAATTGTTTTACTAGTAGTCATGGAGCGTGTGACAGTACAACGATAAATTACACCAACAACTGACTCATATCTTGACAGAATTTGTTTTAAAAAAGTGCATTATAACTGTGAATTATGCAAGAATACAAATGTTTTGGCTGTACGACAATACTCCCATTATTCAAACTGATGAAGAAGTGAATGTTCATAATCATAATGGAATATGTGATGACTCACTTGTCATCGTTTGACCTCCATTGACCTCTTTTTTGGCGTTTGGCTATTCTTCCTTTGAAGGCTGAGAAAGTGTGAAAGTGACCCACCTTTGTTTGATTTGCTTTATCAATTTAGTTCTCATTTTTCCTTGAATATGTCACAGATTAAGGCTTAACATGCAATTTAAGCTTGAATAACCAGTGACAAAAAGAAAACCTTGAACATTGAGTAGTATATTAAATACAATATTAAAACAGAAGAAAATGTATTTTGTCATATTAAAAATAAAATGAGTGAACCACAGAAAACTGAATAAGTATTATCAATAATAATAAAATGATAACCATAATAAAATTGAGAATAATAATAATAGTAATGCAAAATTATTTACTTGAAAAGCATTCGCACTTAAAATCTGCAGTCTTTTAAATCCGCACCAAAGTGATGTTTGTTCAAGTACACAAACCGTCTATTAAATCTAGATTTTACAGAACCTGGATTGAAGCAATACGGATTCACGTACAGAAACTGTCTATTAAATCCGGATTGGAGTAATGTGCATTTACTTACAAAAACTGTTTACTACATCCAAACCGGAGTAAGTTGTGTTCATGTACACAAAACTGCTGTTAAATCTGGAGAGGAGCACTGTGCATTCACACCTGATATATTATCAGGACCCTTCACCCAGGTTGTGGTTTAACAAACAGTTCATTTTATCNCAAGTACACAAACCGTCTATTAAATCTAGATTTTACAGAACCTGGATTGAAGCAATACGGATTCACGTACAGAAACTGTCTATTAAATCCGGATTAGAGCGATGTGCATTCACGAACACAGACTGTCTATTAAATCCGGATTGGAGCAATGTGCGTTCAATTACAAATATGGTCTGTTAAATCTGGAGAGGAGCACTGTGCATTCACACCTGATATATTATCAGGACCCTTCACCCAGGTTGTGGTTTAACAAACAGTTCATTTTATCCATACAGGCATCTGTCATTTTACAGAGAAGCAGCCCCAGACGTCAGAAAGCCTATATTATTAAGAATACTGAAAGGAATGGGCATCTCCTGACTCTGGGGCACCTCCTTACAGCAGCCTTTAATTGTGCCTGAGCGACACGCTTAGCGCCAGAGAGGAAGCAGTGCCTCTTTCAAAAAGCTCGTTTATCTCTCTGGATTAAATACTACACTCCACTGAGCATACTGTCATACTTCCAGCCATGGCCTCCCCCTTCCCTTCTTCTATGTCAGGAGACCCAAAGTACATTCGCATTGCCCAGGATTTACCGTTTAAGCAAAACAATACAATTAATTCCCATTTTCCGCGTCTCCCTCTATATAATTCATGGGCTGAGGGGGAATGGGGGCTGTCACAAAGCAATTTGCAAGGGGTGCAGGAAAAAGATGAGGAAGTGTGTTTGTGCTAATGATGGAAATAATGAAAGGCAAACGGGGGTGAGCCGGCAAGATCGGTGAGGCTATTTACCTGTAATTTGGGTCGCAGGATAAGGCGAGCCAGTATCACAAGAAATATCTGCCCTATTTATCTCCATGCAATCTTAAAGTGCGCCCTTGTAGGGTGTCGATGGAAACTTGGAGAGGCCTCTACTTCATCCTGTACTTAATCCCACTCCAAAAACCACAAGAGACTTTTCCCCCAACTATTTTTAGCTATATCTCATCCTGCTGTTCTTTATACAAGAATGTTTTATTTTATGTAAAGAGAGAGTGAACTTATTTCACATGAAAAGGGTTGGGAGTGATTGCATACCTGCTCGGCTTTATAAAGTCTCACTTGGGCTCCCATCAGGGACAGGAAGACTCTTCCTTTGTAGCCGTGCAGCTCCACATAGCCGCATTTGGCTGCGCTGGGCTTGGAGCGCAGCTGGGATGCGCTGGGCTGACTCCGGATCGCTATCTGCAGGGCATTGATCCAGTCGTACCGCTCTCCTGTGTGGGAACGGCAACACAAACGTACAGTGAAATTAGAACAGAAAAACTACTTTTCATTATGAAATTTACTCTCAAGAGTTATTGAAATGTTACCGTCGAAGTTTTGGTTATTGCATGATAGAAATCTACTCTTAGCTAACATCAGCTGAGTTTAGTTTCAAGAGTTGAATTGGTGGGATTGAGTAAAAGGCAGCAGCTCCAGTGGACCACAGACATTTTAGGCATAGCTGAGGGCGATGATGCTGACAGCAGTACTGATGCTGCTGAGAAATCAGCACAAGCCCAGGAGCTTCCTGAGTGCTTACACTGCTCACTTACTGGGCCCCCCTCAGCAGGAACGGGCGAGGGGGGCCTTTTGTTTGAGGTGCGTAGACGGCTCTACGACAGGGATTTGTTAATTAGTCCCTAAAGTTAGCAGCTGCATAACTCAGAGAAACCTAGTAATAAATTATACATTCAACAAAGAGCCTTCCAATCAGAAACAAAAGGGTGTAAATCAGACACATTTCAAAAGCCTGAAAGTCACAAATTTGCAGCAGAATTACCCACAATAAACTGCACTCAGGCCGAAACTCAAGATGAGAACTGCCCTGCTGGTACGGTGCCAGTTCCAGATGGCCCCCTATGCGCCAGCGCAAGTGTATTCCTGTTCGGCGCAGAACAGCTGCCTGAGAGGGACAGGGAGCAAAGCCCCCCCCCCCCCCCAGATCACTCTGTCAGCGTCTCCTTTCAGATCAACTCATAAAGCGGACAGAACTTTTCCACCAGCACTGGGGCTCCTGCAGGGGCCCCCACAGGACGGCTGAGCTGTGACCGGATATCAGGCGACCACAGGAATGTTGCAGTCCCCTGCCACACCTTCTGGGGGGGGGGGGGTATGCAGAGCCAGAGAGAATTTGCAGCTGGAAAATTTATTTTAATCATGGATCTGAGGCACCTGACAGCAAGGCTGGTGTGCTGAACATTTAAAAAAAAAAGTGTCTGGGGTGGTGGGGTGAGTGGGAGGGCTACAGGGGAAAAAAGACAATAAATCACATGTGAAGGAGGGAGGGCTCCAGCGGCACAGCACCAGAAAAGTGTGTCACTAGGGGTCTGCAGAGTTAGTCTGAAAACTTCAGTGGAGGTGCCTACTTTCCATAGACATTTTGCTGTATTTCTCCCTCTGACAAAAGGATATGTAGAAATTCAGCCTTTTAAAAAGAGCCTGGGTGGTGGTGATCAGGAGCGAGGCGGGGTTAGGGTTAGTGCATTCACAGAGTCTGGGTGGTGGTGATCAGGAGCGAGGCGGGGTTAGGGTTAGTGCATTCACAGAGTCTGGGTGGTGGTGATCAGGAGCGAGGCAGGGTTAGGGTTAGGGCATTCACAGAGTCTGGGTGGTGGTGATCAGGAGTAACGCAGGGTGCTGTACACATGCACCATGTGCTCAGCAGCTCACCTGAACAGCCCCCACTTGGGCTGTTGGAGAAGACCTCTCTGAGGATGACGGGGAACACAGCACTGACAGCTCAAAAATCAGCTACACTACATCATGTTAAAAGACTGAAGTTAGAGATGGCTTGTTGGCTCGGAACAAGAACTATGGTCTCACAGCTCCCTGGTTATGGGATGGATTCCCTGCCCAGACTGACATCCTGCCCTTGGATAAGCTCCAGACTCACCATAGCCCTGTACTGGCTAAGGAGTTAAGGGAATGGGATCGATTTCACTTTAATTAATTAGGACAGGCAGCATAAAGTCTAAAAATAACTTAAGCAAAATTGATCAAATATCTTCAGTAAAACTACGTTTTACCCCACATAAATGATACATAAATTATATTAAATATATGCTAAATACATGCCAAATAAGCTTTATGCTAAAATATTATCTGAAGTTATTTTCTTTCACTTGCCATTAACTTTGATTAGCAAAGTGCAGGGAATGTAATCAACTTTTTACAAAACAAAAGTCAGCGTTACACAGGGATTTGTAATAAGAAGCAGGTGACCTACATAAACCTCCCCCAGGCCATGAGGCCACTGGACACCCCTGGTTTGGTTAACCCCAACCCTAACCCCAACCCTAACCCTAACCCCAACCCCCCTACCTTTTGTCTACCAGTTAAATCAATATATAATGGCAGAAATCCTCCTGATATGATGCATCTACTCCAAAATCACAGAGAAGGGTTCTGACGATTCATCAGCTGCCTAATTTGTGCTTTTTCGCAAAAAGTTTCTCTCTCTAAGCCAAAGTATCCTTGCAGTTTGAAAAAAAAGGAGGATAAAAATGAAACGAGCATAATTTGTAGTTGTTTCTGATGAATTACAGTGTAAATCTAGCATGACAGACAAACAGCAGATCATTATGTAGGGATTGTGTTGGCTCAGCTCCTGTGCTAGTTGGTGGGGGGCATGGGGTGTTTTGTCACAATGCCGCGAGTGATATTGTACTTGCTCTTCTACCCACCAGCACAAACACTGAAGACCATGCGCCTTGCTTAACACCCCCCTCCCCCTGTGATCGGCTCCCATTCCATCATCACTTAGTGCCCCCACGGTGGGCCAGCACGTCTTAAGAACGCCACCATTCCCAGCTCATAAATTCATAAAAGGAGGCGTAAATAATGAATAAGCACTTCGATTCTTCATACCCCTTTATGTTGCCCTTCTTTACTGCTCCTGCGCCGTGGTTTCAGTACCCGTTTGCTACTTATTTACTTAATCTTTTATTCAGACTTCCTCTCGCTTGGAGAGGTTGGGCTCTTGGAAAAAAAAAAGCAAACACGCATGGCGAGAGAGGAGCCCCGAGCGGCAAACGCAAAGACGGGATCTGTGAAGGTCATTTGCTGCAGAAGAGAGGTGGAAGGAAGCGTCTGAGCGCACTTCTCCTTCGAGAAATACAGTACTCCTCAGTGCAGAGCGACCACAGCTCCAGCTCAGCGCACAACAGGGAGATTAGCGCCTGATATTAATGCTAGGGAATGATGCAGACAAATACAGGCTTGGAAATTACTTTACAGAGCAGCTGATAACATGTTCCACGCATCTATTCTGCATAAATGTCAGACCATATACAGAGTTACTGTGAGTAAGTTTTCACCCTCATCCAGTAAGACACAAAATGACTTTGGTTTCTCTTTTAGCATAAATAGACCTGCACGCTGGTGAAACTATTTCATTACATGGGGGGGATTCAGTGGAAATGTTTTTCAAACGAGGCCCCCTCAAAACGGAGTGGGTTCAGTACAGTAGGTAGGGAAAGGTAAATATCAGACCGCATCACAGAGCCATATCGTTAGCATCCGGCAGCTGAGAACAATCGATTCTGCAGTTATTCCACGTGGCTCACTTTCCCCTTAAAGTTCCTTTTTTCTTTCACCGTTATTTATTTATTTTAACTTTGACAAGTTCGCTGCGTGCTTCCTGCGTTTTGTTTTGTTCCTCGAACAGGGAAACACGCCTCTACTTGTTTATGCTGCCACCTCGCCTGTATCTCGCCTGTATCTCGCCTGTTCATCAGCCACCAAGCCCCCCGTCTGACGCCAGCGCATTCACGCCGATCTGACTCTCCCGTCCAAGAAATCGACTCCTTCCCAAGAAAAAAATAAAATAAAGTTTTATAGCCCAACTACCCTATTTACCCTATTAAATGCTCCAGCAGTTTGACTTCGGCCCGTTTTCCCGTAAGTCCCACACACAAGCGTCAACTTGCCCAATTACAGGCACAGCGTCCTAAACCCACATACCATCACTGAACTCCAACCAGCCAATGATATTCTAGGTTAGCTTATCATGACATGAGATTAGACTTGGCTCCGTGTAACTAAAGGACATCTTCACACGGACAATCTCACCCCCTACTCCCATCTGTTGTTAAAAAATAGCCCCTATGAATTAGCGGATGCGCTAGCGGGCATCGTCTGTGGGAACAAGCGTGGCAGGAAACACCCCCTTGCAGCCACCAGGGGGAATCTGGAAAATTTATGCAGGCGAAGGAGAGAAAAAAAAAGGATGTTACCTTCCTTCTCGACGCGGAAAACGAAGGCCCGGTGGGACGTCACCACTTCAAACTTGCTGTCCCCGAGGCTGCGAATGTGGCTGACGGCTGAGAGAAGGATGAAGCCTTTGGAATACATATCCTGAAAGGCAGAAGAGATGGGGCTTTGCATTGGGCAGGAGCTGGGGGGGGGACCTACACGCTACAGAGCCACACAGGGCATCCTGGGCAGCCACAAACTGCCACAGCTGCATGAGTCGATAGCAGTGGGTCTCACGTCGCCTGAGTGTACAGTTTAAGAGGCGTACCATGCTAATCATTGGCCTCCCTGAAATCACAGCACATTCCTGCCTCTGTGATTTCAACAATCACACTTTAATGTTTGCCTATGAAGGCCTGGAAGGTTAGATTTGCTCTCTGGGACAGCCCAGCCAAGCCGCTGGCTCTCGTTGCACTATAGGGGCCGTGGGGGAGCAGTGTTTCTCTTGAAGCTGACCGCCACTGGGTGGCGTCTGGACGGCCTCAGCCCACCCAGAGACCTCTGGACAATCTGAGGACAGACTTTGGCCTTTGGCTTAGAGCTCAGTGCGAAGCCAGCTAGTGCAGACTAATAAAAGGACACAGCAAAAGAGCCAGGAGCCCAGAAGCCCAAAATCACATCAGTCTCTGCAGAGAGAGCCTTTCAGTGTTCCTGAAAACAGATTCACAAACTTAGGAAATCGCAGGTGATAAAAACTATTCTATCCATGTATTATTCATAACAATAAAACCATTATCACAGACCAGGCTGCTTAATAAAAACTCTGCTTTTCTCCAATAAGACTGACCTGAATGTCATTATCACCTATAGAGCCATGGGCTTACGCGGCACAGCTATCTGAGGGCTGGGCGAACTTCCGGAACGTTCCGGAGCACTTACAGTAGCTCTTAATTAAGCCGGTCGCATTAACACCCAAGGCACAGCATTTTCCAGAAACGGCACGTCCAAAAATACTCACGGTGGGGTGAGCAATCCCATTTTTCTGAGGCTGACCGAAGGGGGGGGGGGGGGGGGGGGGGGGGGGGGGGGGGGGGGGGGGGGGGGGGGGGAGCGAGAGAGGGGGAGGGACAGAGAGGTACGAGGGAGAAAGGGAGAGAGAGGTGTGAGAGGAGAGAAGGGGGAGGGCAGCCGTACGAGGTCATGGCGAGCTCCGTCCTCGCAAATTAAGCAGGGATGTTAACAATGGTAGGAACAGCTAACCGTAATTACTGAAGCGCGGCGCTGCCTCGCTCCCCGGGAATTCGCTATCGCGCAGAATTAGAGGCTGTGCCGCGGCGCTGCCATCGCCTGTGAACTTTGGCGCATTTTAATGAGCCGCGCTAAATTCGGAGGGAGCCTGAGGTGCGGGCAGCCTGGCCCATGCCAGGCGCACATAATCACGCATCATCTGGGCCGCCTGTAATTAATTGTTTTTTTTTTCCCCATTCCTCTTGTGGTAGCAATGATAGACATGTTTTTTAATCACACCAGCATCTGTAAATAACCCAGTGAGTGTCGGGAAGGAACCAGAGAGATGCCCCCCCCCTTTGCCATAGGAGGATGAGAGGACCCTGGGTCAAGGAGCTCCTGCGCTCTTAAGCCTCGCTAATACTCACTCCGGCGTCCATGTTCTATGTACAACGCTCTCAGTCTTTGTCTCTCTCACGCTCTCTCACTCTCTCTCAATGTGCATGTGTACGCTAAGGTACGTACGCTGCTATATTTAAATACACAGGCTCCAGCAAGCAATTTAGACACTGACACTAGGAAGCTAAAAGCTTTTTATAATAAAGGTTAGATCAAGAAGGGAGGAAGAAAAGACGGTGTTTCGTGCCTTTGTCACCAGTTTCCATTAGATTAAAACACCCACACCCTGACTCGTTTCACAGATGCATGGGGACACCCAGTGGCCGGACTATAAAACAGCAGCACAGTTTATAATATCCCGATTACAATGGGTCAGTCGGAAAATAAATGGAATATCATGGACACTGTCACAGTATTGCTGTATCTATTCTCCTGTAGAGAGCGTGGGGTAGCTGACCGGAGCAGGACTGATGTGCAGCCTGGCCCGACCCAGCAGACAGACACCAGCAGGCCCACACTGCCAACCTAATGTACTTATTTTATTGTTTTATATTATTATAACTGGTTAGGAGGCTGCCTATCACACAGAACCACATCAGGAGGTTCTGAAAACAACTCTCACCCTGTACTGTTCTGAAGCCTACCATCCCAAAGATAGCTCCCAAAAGATACCACGAGCTGCCGTGTGCTGAGTTGTAGGCTGAGGAATGTGGATTCATCCTCCGCTCTGTTCAGGCGACGGGGCAGCGTAGCTCTCACACAGGCTTGGGAGGTGTTACTGCACAGCCTTGCTTCCCACTGCACTGCATGTGAACTTCACTGCAAATGATTTTTCTGTGTGGGGCATAGGCCACGGCTACAGACATAGAGAAGGGCGGGGCGAGGGCGTGCATTCCCCCATGCTGGGAATAGCGCACATAGTTTCCACACTTGTGAGGCGTGGTGACAGAAAGTCAGCCGATGGAATCAATAAAAAGCTACTTGGCCGTTATGCTTCTGCCCACCATGTGATTGACTTACAGCATGTCGGGTCAAAAAAGCACAGATTAATGCTCCCCTCTCCGCAGCACGCTGTGACTCCATCCCACAAAGGAGGCGGGCTATAATTAGTAAGTGATTAACGAGGGCAGTGTGAGAGAGGGCAATCGGCATTGGTGGCGAGAGGAGGAGGCTGGGCCGAGGGCTAGGGGGGTGACGGGTTTGACTCTCTCTGACCCACTACACCCCACCTTCTATAATTGTAAATTTATAACCCCCCCCCCATTCCATTCACACAGAGGTGTGAACCAACCCAAGTAGCAGAACGTCGCTCTGGGAGCACTGCTCACTGGGGGGAGCCTGACAAAGAGGAGGCAAGTATACAGAGAGTCCATGGCAGCCTACACAGGCCTGGTGAGGAGGAGGTGCATGTACTGTACAGGGAGCCCATGGCAAACTAAACAGGCCCGATGACGAGGAGGTGCATGTACAGGGAGCCCATGGCAGCCTAAATAGGCCTGATGAGGAGGAGATACATGTGCTGAGACACGTGAGGCCTGATGAGGAGGAGACGCGTGTGCTGAGAGCCCATGGCGGACAGTCTGTCTGTCTTCCCATCTTTCTGTCTGCATACCTGCCTTTCAGGCTCCATCTGTCCATCTGTAAGCCACGCAGGGTCTTACTCTCAAGGAAGCAGCATCAGCAGAGCATAATTTCACCATTAAAGCCAAGCGGCATTGGGGGTGTCGATATACTGACAGGGAGGAGGACCGCAGCAGGGCCCTGGGGAGCAAACATGGAGGTCACCCTGTAGAGTGGACACCATGCCCTCCTCCCGCTTTTTAGTGACACACTAACCATCTCTTATGCTTTTTATAGAGCTTAAGGGCAGATGAGCAGTGAATTGAACTGTAATTTCCTCCTGTCAGAGGCAACAGAGGTGAGCGACAGAATACACATTAATATCAAAAAACTGTGTGTGTGTGGGTGTGTGTGTGTGTGCGCACGTGTGGAGGTTGGTGTGGATGTGTCTGATTGCGTGTGTGACTGTGAATTATTGTGAGCGTGTGTGAGTGAGCGTTAGCGTGAGTGTGTGTGGGTGGGTGTGGGTGTGCTCGTTCAGTAGACTTACTTTGTCGTTACTGTAATAGCGGAGATGCTCCCCGTCAAATGTCACCCATCTCTTCTGATACACACAGTTCCTGAAGGAGAGACATTGAATATAAGCACCCGAGCTCACTGAGTAACAGCATTCTGCACTGCAGGACTCAGTACCTCAGCCAGGCCCCACACTGGAGCTCACAGAGGAACAGCACCCTGCACTGCAGGACTCAGTACCTCAGCGAGGCCCCACACTGGAGCTCACAGAGGAACAGCGCCCTGCACTGCAGGACTCAGTACCTCAGCCGGGCCTCTTGGCCTTCAGTCATTCATCTACCCCATCCGACCATGGTATACTCTAAATTTAATCACCAAAAAAATGCCCCACGCTTGACCTAGTTCCTATGTGCACAAACAGCCCAGCCCTGTGACACGGAGATAGGTATCCCTTCCCCTGAGGCAGCAATCTTTCAGTCTGACTATGTAAGCCACTGCATGACTCGTTCCTTTGGCTGCAAGCAGATCCCTTTACTTTACACTTAAACCAGGCAAAACATTAAACACACTCACCTGTAAAGAACCTAACTAACCGTGCATGGCTTTAGGGAGAAGATCACACTATGGGACCAAGTCACGTAGCCAGAATGGGGACAGAAACTGAAGTTGATTAACATGCTAATCTTCGCTCCCGAACCGCGGTCTCAATTCACCGGCAGTGCTGAGCGCAGGAGAGGCTAAAGCCCTTCACTGCCATCACCGAAGTCCCCACCTGAGGTGTCAGCCAGACAAATGAGAAAATCTCCATGGGTCAGAGAAGCTGCAGCAGTGATGCTAGTTCACCCCGCCTACATCTGCTTAAACAAAGAGCTGTAAGAAGATGCCTTCTTCAGAAGGGGGAACTTCTTAGAAAGGCTTAGAAACTTAGAAAGAGCTTAGAAATGGGCCAGTTTCTACTGGACATTTGGCTTAACATTAATGCTGCCATCAATACTCTGCAGTTATATGCAGTATACTTCAACACTAACTGCTAATATTGTTATGTTGCATACCATTCCGTTATTACTTCCTTAAGCTCTCTGCTCTGTCTCAGTCCAGCTCTCCTCACCACAAACACCACCACAACCCAGCATCCCCTTTTCTTGCTGTCCTATAGATGCTCTGCTTTTTTGTTTGTTAACCGTTTAGCTTTTAGCAATGAGACGTAGCCATGAGCCTCGCAATGCAAAGACAGCTGGACCAGGGTGCCAAAGAAACCACAGCAATATAAAAATACCTCAGAGATGTCAGATGTGCCCCACAGCCTGCCGGCACATACTCCCAGCACTCTTGAAATAAAAACACAGTAAAGTGCAGCACTGAGGCTCAGTAGGTAGCCCTGTCACAGTAAGGGCTCAGCACAGCCATTTGCACACTCTCACCCTGAATTATAATTCAGCTATTCTCCCACTCCAAAAATATGTAGGTACGTGAACTGGCACCTCTAGGGGCGCTTTTCCACCGCACCAGGTACCGTACTTTCGGTACTTCCATAAAGTACCGAAAGTATGGTACTTCTTTTGTGTCGGTTTTCCACTGGCGTAAAAACTGGCGCCAAATGACATCATCAGTGATCACCCTTGACTGACATCATCACAAAGCGCGACGCGGTATTTCTTTCGCTGAATTCAAACATGTTATTTTGACCCTTCACTTTCCTGTAGTCCTGCTTAAGTTTTTTGATTTTCAAGCGGCATTGTTCGGTGTTTCGCGTGTGCCCCATTTCTTCCAAGAATACTTTTTTATTCCGAGTCGTGTCATCCAAATCCCGCTGGATCTGTTCATCCGACCATATGGTGATTAAAGCCTGTGTTTCCTCATTTGTCCATCCTTCCGTTTTACTTTTTTTATATTTTTGTTTCTACTGCTTTTTATTTCGTTTCTCACTGTTCGCTGTGTGTATTTTGTGTTTCAGCGGCAGGCTATTTGCATAACCATTCGACAGCAAATACGTTTGTAAGTCCCACCCCAAAGTACTGAACTACCAAAGAAGTACCCCAGCTGGTTTGGTACTTTCGGTACTGGAACTTTCGGTACTGGTACTCGACCGGAAGTCAATGGAAAAGCGAAAGTACCTTACCGAAAGTACTGTACTTTGTGCGGTGGAAAAGTGCCCTAGATTGCCCCTCCTTTGAGTATACACTAGAGGGAAGTGCCTCCTAGGATGACCCCTCCCCGCCGTGGCGTGACCTGGTGGCGGATAATTGGCTGGGAGATGCAATCAGCAGGAAAGCAAAAGAGTGGTGCCTCACCCCTGCGGGGAAAGCTTGTCCAGCCAGCCAGCCTTGAGAACGGCCTTGTGGGTCTGGTAGTAGCAGGCATAGGGAGAGATGTCCAGGTCCGGGTTGGCTAGCTGGATGTCATTCCCCCTGCTGTCTGCCACCTGCCCCATGCCAAAATGCCTGGACTGAGAGCTGCAGGCCTCCTCTGTGGAGCACTCCTGCTTTGAGGGTCCCCCATGAACTCGCCCACTGGCTCTCAGAAGCGTGGTTTCGGTCGAGGAAGAGACTGCATCGTTCTCCGATCTGCTCTGCTTGCTCCTGAAAAGCCATGTCACACTTTAGGTCATGGACCAGGGTTTCTCTGGCACTGAAACAGACTGCAATCGTGAGCTTTTCATGAGGAGGTGTGGCACTGAAATTAGTGACATCACACCTCGCTGTGACCTTCTGCTACATGAGCTGCCTGTTTCCCTATTACACTGCATTGCTGTGGCCATGCTTAACCCTCCAAACACAGTATGCTAAGGCTGGACTGCACTGCTATGGACACCTACACCCTGCACATTAAAGGTCTGACAGGTAAATCTGAACCAGAGGTTCAAAGAAACAAAAATAAGTAAGACCATGTTTACCCTGAAGTGAGCTTTGATGCCTCCTTGTTTTTACTTGTCTGGTCATCAGGAGCTGTATCCTGATGAAGGAAGGAAGCAGGATCAAGATCAGCATCAAAATCCACATATATGAAAACACAGATGTGTCTTCACTTCAGATTCTAGTATAGCTTTCAAATTCAGATACCAAGAAATTAATTCAGAACACATGAAAGAAATGTATCCTGTGTTGGGCTGGCATCCCATCCAGGGTGTCCCCCAGCCCTGTGTCCTGTGATGGACTGGCATCCTGTCTGGGATGTTTACCAGCCCTGTGCTGAACTGGCATTCAGTCAAGGGTGTCCCCCAGCCCTGTGATGGACTGGCATCCCATGCAGGGTGTCCCCCAGCCCTGTGCCCTGTAATGGACTGGCATCCCATCCACGGTGTCCCCCAGCCCTGTGATGGACTGGGAGAGGCTCCAATCCCCCATGCAACTTTGGCCAGGGTAAGCAGTTCGAAGAGCAACAGACGGATAGATCAGTTAAACGTGTAAAAAAAGCTTATTTACCTGCTTTTGCATATTAGATATTTTCAGCACAACAAAATTAGAAATTTTCAAAAAAATATGGGAAATTAGAAAACTCATATGTCTTAATTTTGAGTCAATGTTTGATTTTAAGTCAAAGTGACATGGGAAATTATTAAAACTGTGTGGTCGAAACAGTTACTTGTATGCAACTATAACTATTTAGTATAGATATTTTTTAACCATATATACCAGAGGTCACCAACAGGTGGACTGCGGTCCGGGTCTTGACCCAGAAGCTGTCCCATACGGACCCGGTCCGTAGCCAATGAACAGAAACGGACCCGGTCCGTAGCCAAGGCAGGAAGTTTTGACGGGGCGCTTCTATTGTTTACGGCGCAGCCTTTGTAGTCTTTTCGGTAGAGGTATTAGCACTAGAACCGCTTTTTCCCACGCCAATGAACATCAAACACCTTTAACCGCCAACAAGAGGCAGTTCGGCCTTTGCAGCCCTTTGTTAGCGCTAATGTGCCATTAGTGTTAATATCAGCAGCGAAGTTAACACCCGCAACCAAAAAGCGTAATGTTCCTAACAGAGTGGCTGCTCTGTCCTGAAATCGTAAACCTGAAAAGTTTTCAAACACGGCATGTATTATATAACATGTTGGATAAATAGACGTAGTTTATTGGCAATGTCATGTTCGTTGAAGTTTCTGCTTTTAAACAACTGTATAAAGTAATGTTATTTGTTATATAAAACAACAAATGTACCTTTTCAGGATTGCCAAATCTCAAGCATCTGGCATGACACTAACGCTTTCAGACTCACGCAGGAAATCTTACGGCAGATCTATATTATTCCATTATAAACCTAACATTACGTACGTCAAAAGTGTATTTACATGGTAAAATACAAAAGACAATTTACAAGGTAAGAAATGTTACATATGTGTGCAGACAACTCGAACAGAAAATCTCATTCCAGCCTGCTGGCCGAAGTTGGCAACCGCGAGTTTTATTTCAAATGAAAAGTAAAATGCGCTGTTTTCGCCTGGAACGGCTCGTCATTCCGTTTGCGTTGTTACTTTGACAAATAGACCTATAAAAGGAATATGAGAAAAACATAACATGTAACGTTTTATATTTTTTTAGAAATAATAAGACCGCCCCTATCCTACTCTAATACCGATTAAGGTGATAAATTCGTATGTATTTATATTAAAACGAAACTTTAATTTTATTACCGGTGTGGGATTATCGAAACCAACACTTAAATCCATGAGCACTAAAATATATGACATAAACACGACCGGGTGACAGTAACTCTGCTGCTGTGAGGATTACTGACAGTCCCATTGTTTTCTTGATGGGTGAGTGGTGATGGCCCATTAACAAAAACGAAAGGTGTGATATACATTATACATATCGGCAGTCATACATATGTGTTCAGTTCTATGTCACGTGACAATAAATATTGTCAGAAAGTTTTTGAATTGTACTGAATTAATTTGATTTGACAGTCAGGTATTGATTACATGCAATGTTGATACAACTAATAGGATACTTAAATATATATCACACGATATAGTTAGACGTTATGATCTTCTGGACCTTTGCTTCAGGAAATTCTCTCTAACTGGGCCTCTTTAAATTTTAGTTGAATACCCATGACATATACTATATACAGTACAGTCATGTCAAAAAGAAAATACATTTTGTATGATTTTACATATCAGGACACAAACCCAGTACCAGGTTCTAACATTACTTATATATAAACTCATTTGTAAATCAACAAACAATAAATAATGACAAAGTGGAATCTAACAAAAAATTAAGCCAAAATGGAGAAGCCATATGTGGAAAACTAAGTAGACCACATGATTCAATAGCTTGTGGAACCACTGTTAGCAGAAATAACTTAAAATAGTTGTTTACTGTATGACTTTATCACTCTTGCCCATTGCTGTGGAGGAATTTTGGCCAAATCTTCTTCACAATGTTGCTTCAGTTCATTGAGGTTTGCAGGTATTCATTTATGCACAGCTTTCATAAGGTCCCGTCACTGCATTTCAATCTGGTTGAAGTCTGGACTTTGACTAGTCCATTGCAATACCTTGATTCTTTTCTTTTTCATCTATTCGGTTGTAGATTTGCTGGTGTGCTTGGGATCATTGTTCTGTTGCATGATCCAGTTTCAATCAAGCTTTAGCTGTTGATCAGATGACCTCACATTTGACTCTACAATACTTTGGTATACAGAAGAGTTCATGGTCGACTCAGTGACTGTAAGGTGCCCAGGTCCCGTGGCTGCAAAACAAGCCCAAATCATCACCCTTCCACTACCATGCTTGACACTGTGCTTTAGGGCCAAACATCTCCACTTAGGTCTTGTCTGTCCACAGGACATTGTTACAGAAGTCTTGTGGTTTGTTCACATACAACATTGCAAACCTAAGCTGTGCTGCCATGTTCTTGGAGAGAAGAGGCTTTCTCCTGGCAACCCTTCCAAACTAGCCTATATGTTCAGTGTTTTTCTAATTTTACTGTCGTCAACTTTAACATTTCACATGCTAACTGAGGGCTGTAGAGTCTGGCATGTAGCTTTTTTTTTTTTTTAATAATAATAATCTTTTTTTGGGGGGGGGGGGGGGGGGGGGGGTTGGCAATATTTCTGAGCATTGCACGGTCTGACCTTGGGGTGAATTTGCTGGGACATTCACTCCTGGGAAGATTGGCAACTGTCTTGGATGTTTTCCACTTGTGAATAATCTTTCTCACTGTAGAATGATGGACTTCAAATTGTTTGCAAATGGCCTTATAACCCTTCCCAGATTGATGGGAACAATTGTTTCTCTAAGATCATTGCTGATGTCTTTCCTCAGCATTGTCATAACACACACCTGAATGCTCCAGAACAATGCCAAACCTTTTACAGAGGTGGTCACACTTGCTGATGATCAATTAATCAAGTGTATTTCATTAGCTGAAACTGGCTGCTACTCTTTATTCGTATGGAAGTGTACTTAATTTGTGACACACTGCTTCTGCATTTTGGCTTAGTTTTCATTAAATAATGACACAGTATAATATGTCTTGTGTTGTTGTTCATCTAAGGTTGTATTTACTTATTTTAAGACCCAGAATTAAGGGAAAGTCTTGCTTTTAAGTCTGTCTAGTTTAAGTGAGAGTTCCGTTCCATCAACGTGTCTTAAATGAATCCCCGCTGAGTTACCATGGTAATTTACACCTGCAAACAAGTCTGCTCCGTAGTCGGGATTATTAATAGTCACGCATCTGGTCAGGTAAAGTTGGATTACTACATGTACAATATAATAATCTATACCACAAGTGTGTCTGCTGGGGTGTGGCATGAGTAAATGGTGTCCTGTAGTTGTGTTCTGGACATACAGCAACTCTGGATGTAACGGACTGTTTTGCCAAGTCCCTTGAAGTCCGTTATAACGGTATTTTACTGTAAAATAAAAGAGTACGCATATTACAAAGGTGAAACATGAAATGCAATGACTGTAATGAGTTTGACTTTTTCGGGAAAGTCTACCCTGGGGGGTATTCCACGAAGCAGGATTAAGGGAAAGTCTTGCTTATTTCGATGTCTGTCTTATTTAAGTGAGAGTTCCGTTCCATCAATGTGTCTTAAATGAATCCCCGCTGAGTTACCATGGTAATTTACACCTGCAAACAAGTCCGCTCCGGACCAGGGATGCGTTTCCCAAACAACGACAGAAGTTAGCATTAATGATGCATCGTACTATGGTAGTTCGAACTAACCAACATCCGAAGTACGACTGTTTCCCAAAACCGTCGTACCACAGTAGTTCGAACCATGTTAGTTAGTTGGGACTTCCGTAGTTCGAACTACCATGGTTCCAGCGCTGATTGGTCAGACTCACGGCGAGTCATGCGCAACAACTAACAAACTACTTTCACAGCCGGTCGCGTATAAAGACTAATCACACACACAGACACATATATATACATATATATGTGTCATCAATTTATTGTCAGTCACATAACACCATTAATATGAAAAATAGCAATCGCGCCAAAATAATGTGATGCTTCTTGGAGTGCTAAACAGAAGCTATGACACTGCATTTTGTGAAAGAATCTCCATCTGTAATTACGTTGATTGCAGTTCATTGTGTTTCAGTCACACTATGACCACTTACAAATTCCTGGTCCGACGTTGTCACTTACAGAATGTTAGTGGCTGACTGGAATATACAGGTGTCTGTAATATCCAAACATTACAGACGTCATTTCCCTAGTATAAAGGCATGGATTCGTATCTGACCGCTGTAGTGTCATTCTACTCTTCCATTATGGCAATGACAGCTGTCAGTGAATAAGGAGTACTTCACCAAAATGCTGTACTCTTTTCTAAGGCAACTGTTGTCCCTCTTAAGTTATGCGTATAATGAAGAAACTGCACAACACCCAATGGTCTACATAGGGCTACAAAATACACACATGTACACATACAAGGGATAATGATTTATTATTATTATTTTTGGGATTTATTATTTTCTTTTCATTTTATTAATGTTT